AAGAGTCTGATGCGTACGTTGGGTCTACCTTACCGAAAGATTGATGTTTGTGAAGACAACTGTATGATTTTTTGGAAAGAACATGCAGAATTGATGGAATGTCGTTTTTGCGGGAAAGCCAGATATCGACCACGTCCGATAGCTTCAAAGAAAGGCAAGTTAATTCCTTTGAAGAGAATGTTTTATATGCCTATAACAGATCGTTTGAAAAGGTTATATCAATCCGAAAAGACAGCATCACATATGCGGTGGCATGACGAACATTCGACGCCTGATGGAGAAATGCATCATCCATCCGACGGTTTAGCTTGGAAACACTTTCAACAGGTATTTCCTGATTTTGCAAGTGAGGCTAGAGACATATATCTATCATTATGCACGGATGGATTTAATCCATTTGGGATGTCTAGTCCAAATTATTCTCTATGGCCGGTGATTTTAACACCGTACAATTTACCTCCGGACATGTGCATGAATAGAGAGTTTTTATTTCTCTCAGTATTAGTTCCGGGACCTAAACATCCTAGAAGGAGTTTGGATGTTTTCCTTCAACCGTTGATAGAAGAGTTGAAAGAATTTTGGAGTATTGAGGTAGAGGCATATGATGTGTCAATAAAGCAAAATTTTTTGCTTCGTGCCGTACTGATGTGGACAATTAGTGATTTTCCAGCATATTCGATGTTGTCTGGTTGGACAACGCATGGTCGTCTAGCTTATCCGTATTGTATGGATGAGACCGATGCATTTTGGTTGCCGAACGGGAGAAAAACGAGTTGGTTTGATTGTCATCGTCGTTTCTTACCAAGAAATCATGTATTGCGCCGGAACAAGAAGAATTTTCGTAAGAATCGGGTGGTAAGCGATTCTAGTCCGCTTGAACTGACGGGAGATGAAATATTATTCGAACGGATCGAAGATTGTGTGAGATCACATGGGAGGGATTACTGCAGAAGTCGGTGGAAATGGTCATTTGCCGATTGAAGGATACAGTGAATATCATAATTGGCACAAAAAAAATATATTTTGGGAATTGTCATACTGGAGACATCACAAGTTGCGACACAATCTTGATGTCATGCATATTGAGAAGAACTTTTTCGATAACATCATAAACACGGTGTTGAATGTACCCCAAAAGTCGAAGGACAATCTAAACTCAAGGAAGGATATAAAATCAATTTGTTTGAGGAAAGAACTAGAACTGACACAGGATGGGAATGCACCTATTCCCGTTTTTCGGGTATTTGGTGAAGCGCAGAAGAATTTTTTCCGGTGGTTAAAGGATGATGTGAAATTTCCCGATGGTCCAATAGCATTTACAGAACTACTTCCACAACATGTACACGAGAATCTATCAGATATGGTCGATATGTTTTTTTAAGCTTACTTGTTTTTAAGTATGTGAATATATATATAATTATATATATATATATATATATATATATATAAATAAATTTGATATATACGTGGTTATGTTTGTGCAGGGATCAACTCATTTTTTCGGGTGATTTGCAGTCGGACGCTTAAACTTGAAGATATCATCATGCTAAAACAAAACATAGTTCTGGTACTTTGCAATATGGAAAAAATATTTCCACCGTCATTTTTTGATGTGATGGAACATTTACCAATCCATCTTCCACGAGAAGCAGAACTTGGTGGACCAGTTCAATTTCGGTACGTACGTTATAATTAATGTGTATTGTTTAATTAATATAGGACTTATATATACATACTTATTTATATAACTAATGATTGTTTAATCATATATTTTGTTTAGATGGATGTACATGTTTGAAAGATTTATGTACCATTTGAAGAAAAAGGAAAAACAGAAAGCCTTTGTTGAAGGATCAATCGCTGAAAGAATTTAGTTCCAATTGAAAAAAAAAGCAAAACAGAAAGCCTTTGTTGAAGGATCAATCGCTGAACAGTATATCAATGAGGAAATATCATTCTTTACCTCATATTATTTTGAAGATCATGTGGTAACAAAGAGCAGAGGTACAAGAACATTATTCCATTGCGATGATGGCCCTAGTTATCCGACGAATGCAGATATCCCCCATATATTTTACAGAAAAGGAAGATGTGGTGGTAAGGCTAGCGATGCCTATTTGTCTGAAAAAGACTACCATGTGGTACATATTTTTGTATTGCTGAATTGTGAAGAAGTTCTACCTTTTGAAAGGTTCGTTTATACATTTAATTATTTCTTCCTAAACTATTTTTAAATTATTCCGTTTACAATGAATTAATTTACATGTTTTGCAGGATTTTTGATGAACAAGTATACAACATATACGGTGACATAAGTAACGAGGAGTTGACAAAAATAAAAGAAAAATGGTTTGCTACATGGTTAAAAGAATATGTAAGATTTTTGAATAAAGTTTAAAAACAACTCATTTTAAAAATAGCATGATCGATCAAGTATATATTGATATTTAAGCAACCTAACTTTTTCGTTGCAGATTAGAACATCACCAGAAGAACATCCATTGTGGTTGCATGAGCTAGTTCAAGGACCCATTTGTCGTGTTACATGTTGGCCTATATTTTTTACCAGAGGCTTCGTTTTCCACACACAGGAACACGACCAACATCGTTCAACACATAATTTTGGTGTTTGTGTGAAAGGGTCAGAATATTGTGCATCTGATAATGAACCCGATTTTTACGGACAACTGCAGGAGATTTTTGAACTCCAATATGCAGGTCATTTTGGACTCAAAGTGATGATGTTCAGGTGTGATTGGTTTGATCCGACACCAAATCGAGGGATCAGAGTCAACAAAACAGGTGTTTTTGACATATGTTACACACGTCGATATGGAAAATATGATCCTTTTATATTGGCTTCTCAAGCAGATCAAGTGTGTTACATCCCTTATCCGAAGAAAATTACAAGAAGGTTAGATGTTGATTGGCGAGTTGTCGTGAAAATCAACCCCAGGGGAACTATTATTCAGGCATAAAATGCTGAACAAGTACCGCTTCAAGATGTTGATCACGGCGTTATTCAATTTGAAGAAACGATTGAGGTTGGAAGGTTAATAGCCGAAGAAGGAATACTTGAAGAACTTGAAGACAATAATGATGAAGAGAAAGACAATACCGATGACTCGGATGAAAAAACAACAGGAAGTCCTGAATATGGTTCATTTGATTAATAAGAACTATGTTTGTACTTAAAATAACGATTTCTAATTCAATCTCATTTTATTTGTAATGAGGATATATTATCTGTGCTAATTTTTTTTTAATTTATTGAAATAAATTGCGACAGAAGATGTCGGTCGCAAAGTTGTCATAACTGGCGACCGAAATAATCTGTCGGTGGTCAGTCGTAACTAGACGTCCATTCATCACTTGCCACGTGTCATGACCGCAAACCATGCAGCTTTTCGATATTTTAAACATTGCGACAGATATGATCGGTCGCATTGTGCGTGAATTCTGTCGCCAAATCCACGCGTATCCCGCTTTTTGGCGTAACGACGGATTGCGACATAATGAATCTGTCGCAATGTTCTTAAAATCCCGCCTTTTTTTTCGTAACGACGGATTGCGACAGAATTAATCTGTCGCAATACTCTTAAAATTATCGCGAGTCGTCTTCTTCCCCTCTCTCCAAAAACTTAGACACATTTTCGTTTCGTCGCCTCTTCCGCCGCGACCGAACTCCGTTCCCAGGTATGTTTCCGATCCATTTCTTCGTATTTTTGCTAGTTTGGTTCGTTTTTCGAAAATCGAACGGTTGATAATCCGAAAATCGAACGCGCGAGATACAGTTTCCGATATCTCGCGCATCCACTGCACCGCCACTGCTCCGATCTCTCGCACCGCCACAACACCGCGACCGAACTAATCCGAGGTTTGGATTTCAAATTTTTCAGTTTTTTTTTTGTCGATTTCGGATTCAGTTTCTGTCGTTTGGTCGATTTTAGATTTGGGTTCAATTTAGTGTTTAGGGTTTAATTTAGGGTTTAGGGTTATTTTAGGGTTTAAGGTTATTTTAGGGATTTGGGTTATTTTAGGGTTCAATTTAGGGTTTAGGGTTATTTTAGGGTTTAGGTTTAATTTAGGGTCTAATTTAGGGTTTAGGGTTATTTTAGGGGTTAGGGTTATTTTAGGGTTTAATTTAAGGTTTAGGGTTTATTTTAGGGTTTAGGCTTAATTTAGGGTTTAAGGGTTTAGGGTTAATTTGGGGTTTTGGGGTTTGTGTTATTTTAGGGTTTAATTTAAGGGTTTATAATTTATTTTAGTATTTAGGTTTAATTTGGGGTTTGGGGTTTAGGGTTTAGGGTTTGGGGTTTAGGGTTTAGGGTTTGGGGTTTAGGGTTTGGGGATTTAGGGTTTAGGGTCTTGGGTTTAGGGTTTTGTTGTTCGGGTTCTGGGTTCGTTTACGGGTTTTCATTATTATGTTTTATTATGTGTAACTTGCAGATGAGTCAATCCCATTCTAGTGGTCGTGCCGGTAGCGGAGTCCGATCCCGAGGACGTGGGATCGGATCATCTAGATCACCATCTGTCCATCAGGATCAGGTGGTAGTCGAGCCTCCTCGACTAGATGTATCTTTCACGGGTGCGGCTTCACCGCAATCCGTGAATGAAGGTACATCTAGTCACGGTGCATCGCCATCATTGCTGGAGATTCTAGCGTCTGTAGAACGTCGTCTCCGACCTCGTCTCGATCCGGATCACTCCCCCGGTTCTATTTGGTAGGTGTTTTAATGCATATAATAAATATTTATTTTTATTTCTTTTAAATTAATGTTATGAATCTAATTTTTGCAGGTTTGATCATAACAATGAAGTGATTACGACCGTCGTCAGCATCTTTCAGTCGGACTTCAAAGGCCCGTGGCGGAGTCTCATCCGTATCCCTCCATCTTATCTGCAACGTTGGTTCGGGGCTTTCGCGGTAAGAATTTTGTCAATTAAATGTATTTATATTTATACAAAATTATAAATTTATTTTGTTTGAGCAAGCTTATTATTGGGACGAGGCCATTCATGACCAAGTCTACGCCGCTTGGAGGCTCGTCGTCCGAGATCGCCTCAAGGACAACATTTATCGGGTAAAGTGCAGACGCGTAAGACCTCCGTGGATGTCGACGGCTACCTACGATCAGCTCGTCGCACATTGGGATTCAGAAGAAGGAACGGAGAAGAGTCAAATCTTCTCAAGCAATCGACGATCCCGAGCGGAGATCGAACGCGCACCCCCGACCCACACTGCAGGACGAAGATCATTTGCCCGAGTCGCCCATGAGATAGTAAGTAAAAAAAAATTTAATCTAAAATTTGTTAAGTTTTTTCTAATTAAATTTTTTGGTTGTAGACGCAGAGGGAAGGTGAAGAACCTTCCGCGTTGCGATTGCTGCAGGAGACTCACCGTCGAGCTAACGATACTTATATTAACGATCGCTTTCAGGAAATCGAGGACGCGATTCAGGCAAAGATCACCGATCGTCTCTCCCAGTTAGAGGAGAGTTGTGGATCGACCCAACTTTCGCCAGCAGAAATCAACAGTCTCTATCTAGAGGTAAATTTATATTGATGTAATTGTTTAATTAAATTATTTTAATTGACATATACTTTTTATTTGGCAGGTTGTCCAACCGGATGCCAAAGGACGTATCTACAACGTCGGTGGAATGGCGACTCAGTTGGGTGGTGGTCATCCAGATGCAGCATCGATCGGTCGCCACATCGCACTAACTAAGGAGGTCGAGGCGTTGAAGAAAAAGATCGAAGAGTTCGAGGAGGATCGTAGAAAGATTGCGAGACTTGAAGAAGGTGAGGCACGGATTGCGCGTTACGAGACGCTTTTCGCCCGACTTTTTCCTCCTCATGACGATCCACCAACGACGCAGGAGATGCAACATAACCCATTTCTGACTCCTCAGTCCAGAGTTAGATCTGAGCCCGGAGTCGGACATTCTACGGCATCGACGGACCAAAGAACCGGATCAGATATTTGGATAACTATTTTGTTTAATTTGTTTTATATAAATACTTTTATTTTATGTATTAAATACTTTTTAATTTTAAATAAATATTTTTATTTTATATTTTTTTAAATAAATGTTTTATTTTATTTAATTAAAATAATTATTATTTATAAATAAAATTTATAAAATAAAAATATTTTTCAGATTGCGACGAAGAGCGACCGATATTTCGGTCGCTAAATAGCGACAGAAAAAATGTGCCGCAACATCACGACAATTACATAGCGACAGATTACCGACCGCTGCTTCTATCGCTAGTTAGCGACAAAAAAATTGCGACAGATATGTCTGTTGTTGAGCGACACATTTCCGACAACCCTTATTGGTCGGTCTATGCGACCGATACCTACAGTTATATCTGTCGCAAATCTGCGACAGATCGCGTACACCGATTAACGATGCATTTCCGATGCAAAAATTCTGTCGCAAGTTTGCGACCGACGACCTACAGAATTTTTAGTCGCAAATGTGCGACAGAATTACGACCACATTTTTCTTGCGATAACGATTTGGCGACAGAAATGATTCAGTCATAATCGATCGCAAATTTTTGTTTGCGACAGAATTCTCTTCATGTTGCGACTTCCATTTCCGTCGCAAAATGGAACATTTCTTGTAGTGAAGAGAATGAAAATGGTGAGAGTTTTCCTGTATTGGTGAAAGTCATTCTGAGTGAACGTGAGGTATATCTGAGGGGGAGTCTTCAACCAACAGACGAGCCGTTCATAGGTCTTAGACGAGGTCTAGGGTGGCATATGATTTGTCCATCGCATAAATTGTCTGGGAGCTGATAGAATTTCTTGTGTTTCAGGGGTTTTACTCAGGATGAGTAAAATAGGTTGGATCGAGTGACACTTGTAAAAAAATGAAGTGTATCTGACTCATAATAAAGAAATAAAATCGGTTTGATTGTTCCTTATTCAAGATATTGTGTGAGTATATTTTTTTACATAAAAAATCAATTCAAATTCAGAATATATAATTTTTCCTTTTAAATCAAGTTTAAACTCGAATACTTTCGAATATCAAACTGATAATCATCTTTTAAAATAGGACGATACCATCATCTCAACCCATAAGAATTGTTAAACCAAAAACACCTCAAGTAATTATCTATAAAATGTTAGAAACTCGATTACAAAGTTTTAAAGCTTGTTATTGTCATTTCAGTTGGCTGTCGATCAAGTTAAAACATCACGTATAATTTTTGTAAACCGTAACTGAACCACAAAACAACATTGACCGGTTTACGATTGAGCCGGTCGGGTTCCGACAATATTTTACATAATCGAGGGTATAATTGGAAGCATCAAAACGAACGGTCACGATTCAATGCTTAGAGAAGGAACCCTAATTATATATCATTCACTTCCTCTCCCGACCTTAAAACCCTAGTTCGTCGCTTTTCTTCTGATCAATTATCAAAATTCCTTCTTCTCGCGTTTATTGAATCTATTGGGTATTGGTCTTTCGATTTTGAATTTATTATCTTTCGATCGTATTGCAGCATTTACGCCATTGTTGCTAAATTTCTGTGTTCGTTTTTCTTTGGGGTTTATTGTTCGAAAGCAGAGATGAAGGCCATCGCTGCATTCTTGCTCGCCGTTCTGGGAGGAAAGGCTAGCCCTTCTGCCAGAGATATCAAGGACATCCTTGGATCAGGTAAATTATGTCTGGACTTCACATTTTCACGCTAAACCTAAAAATTTTCATACCTGATTTGTGATATCATGTCATGGGTGATTGTGTGAGGACAAAGTCCTGAACCCTGAAATGGGTCGTTCTAAGATGGTGCCTTTTTTTCCTCTTGATTTTTCATAGGAGTTTGATGGATAGTACGTCGTTTCTTCGGTTAGTTCTCGTTAGCATTGTGTGTTTCTTTTGGCTAGAAGAGTATAGTTTAGTCCCTGTAGGTGATGATTTTCTGATATTCATGTCAAAGTTTGGCGATTTTTTAGTTCTGAAACTTTTGGGTGTTCTTGGAATCCTAGAAATAGGTAATTCAAAGTATCAAGATATGTGAGTTTGGTGTGCTGTTCGATGGAAAATCTTGAAAAGGCTTTTGATTTCACGTTTGTTTACTTGCAGTTGGTGCCGAGGTTGATGAAGAAAGCATTGAGCTTCTCCTGAAAGAAGTGAGTGGTAAGGACATCACGGAACTGATTGCGTCTGGTCGGGAAAAGTTGGCTTCTGTGCCGTCTGGTGGCGGTGGTGTGGCGGTTGCCTCTGCTCCTGCCGGAGGCTCTGCTGCTCCTGCAGCCGAGGAGGAGAAGAAGGAAGAGAAAAAGGAAGAGAAAGAGGAATCCGACGATGTAAGTCTTTCTTCCCCTAAAAATTCATTCTACATGGTTACTTGTGCCGGGAAATCCGTAGAATTTAGGTTCAATCCGTAGACGGCACAGAAGCCAACTTATATGATCTGAAGGTTTGCAATGCCCCCCCCTACTCATTGCAATGTTCATGATTTGGATGCAGGACATGGGTTTTAGTCTGTTCGACTAAGAATTTTTGCCAATGGGAATCGTCATCATATCCGTATGAAGTCTTCTTCTCTTATTTTTAGTGTATCTTTTGTTTTTTTTAGCCTCTTAGTTCTCGGGTTCCAAATATTGTTGGATGATCACAACATTTTGTTTAGGTTTTAAAGCAGGAAAACAAGTGATTCTCCCTATTAAATGTTTCAATGTTGCTGGATTTTGCTTATGAATCATCCACATATATTCGTTCGTTCAAGTCGTGTTCTTGGTCGCGTTCTAGTGTGTTTTAGATAGGGGTGGACACGGGTCGGGTACCCGAAATTTTCGAGTTATCCGAAATAATATTCGGGTTACTCAGTAAGTACCCGAACCCGAATTTTTAAAAGCAAAATTTAGTGAAAATATAGATATTTAAATATAATATTACATTAAAATAATCCAAACATTAAAAAAATAAGAAAAACATATTGTTGATGAATGTATCGAAACAAAAATCTTATTCATGCTAATCCAATTGCCCATTTGGTGTGTTTGGTCCACCTTTGTCAGCCGGAAACTTAACAAATTCTGCCACAAGATTGATCTCCTCATCCTGCAACCGCGGTCCAAACGTGCAGTGCCCTCTCGATGTGCATTGTTCCGCAAATCCCTACAGAATCATCAAACTTATCTTGTTTCATCACTAAACCCAGTAGAAAATGATCATAGGACAATTACTGAATGGCTTTTGCAATGTGAGTGTTCACTCACTAGTTGGATTATGTTTCCACCTGTATCATGACAACCAATACAAGCTTTCTGAAACCAAGCGGCTCCTCTTTGTATGTCCAGGCTTTGTCCTAACGATTTTGCAACCAAGAATCAACACATAGACATGAAAATTCCATGACTACACGTGAAATCCATTGAACAGAATTTGATTCCAAATGCTCACATGACTCGCTCGAAATCGTGTCGTTGGAAGAAATGCTCGTTCAGAGAGGAAGGATTCGCGTCTGCAGGAGGAGAACTAGCGTCGCTGCGTCGAAGTTAGGGTTCAGGTAGAAGGAGAAATTGCGAGTAAAGGGAAAGAGATTATGAGAGAAGGAACTCATGAAGGGGAAGGGGTTACGACGCCTCTCATGAGTGAACAAGAGAGAAAAAAAATGAGGGTTAAGAACCTAGGGTTTATTTTTTTTTTTGGGTTAAATGTGATTGAATTAACTATTAAAACCCATATCAGTTTGTGTACAAAAAGAAGCAATTACAAAAAGCAATGGACTCCCATATTCATGTGGACAAAATGATTAATGGAACAACGTAACTCTAACGACGGTCTCCCGTTAGAAAATACCAATCCTCAAGAAAGTTCTTTGTTGCTGGGACGTTCCTTAGCTGTTGTGACAGCAATAACGTTCGAATCCTGCGATCCAACTTGGCACGCATAACCTGTAACGGCTTCGACTTCTGCTTGAATATCCGTGAGTTACGCTCATTCCACACCATGTCAACGACTTGGTGGAGTAAGAGTTTGGACAACACCAGCCTATTATGGCTAGCATCATGCTGCGAGTTCTGCCATTGGTGGCACAATAAGATGTCTGATGGAGGTTGCGGCCAACAACATTCTGCAAAAAATTCCCATAATGCCTTGCTAAACGGACACGCAAAGAAGAGGTGTCCATGAGTCTCCACATCCTGGCTGCATAAGCAACAAATCGGGTCAACCTGGTAGCCCCATCGTAACAACCTGTCCTTCGTCGGCAGCCTCCGAAGCAGCACCTGCCAGTGTAGCATCGCTAGCCGTGGGGTCGTATGCTTTAGCCAGACATTCCTGTACCATTCCACCTGTGGTCCTCTCGTTCTGATCAGCTCCCATGTTGCTGCGGTAGAGAACATCGCCTTGAAAACGTCCGCCTTCTGCTTCCACAGTGTGATGTCTTGACCATCAGATTCCGTTGGAGGAGATATGGCTGCCAGCTGGATTTGGATCGCCTGGATTGCTTCTGACCTTGCGCCCGGTAGCCGCCAGTTTCCATCTATAACAACATCTGCCACCGAGGCTTCACGGTTGATCCTAAGCAACCGTGGACCTACCTCCCCTGCAAGGCTAATGAATGACCCTAAATCTGTCCAGCAGTCATCCCAAAAACTTGTAGATTTACCGTCCTTTACTTCCTTTCGGAGGAACATTCGAGCTTTATCTTTAAGGCTGAGGAGCTTCCGCAATATCCAAGAGCATCTGCCATTAAGTTTACAAGTCCAGAAGTTGTCAGATTTGAAAACATTATACCTTGTCCAAGCGACCCATAAGGATCCCGATTTGGTGAACAGGATCCATATTAACTTCAACCGGAAGACTGTATTGTAATCCTCCAGCTTTCTCAGGCCAAGACCACCTTCTTTTTTCGGAGAGCAGATTTTGTCCCATGCTACACGGTATGACCCAACGGCATTCAGACTTCCTTTCCATAAGAATTTGGAACATAATCCATCTACCTGCTTGAGGAAGAACTTCGGAAGGGCAAAGATTGACGAGGCCATAGATCCACCAAAAGTTGACGAGGCCATAGATAACCGTCGAGATTAGCTGAACCCTGCCAGCGTAGGAAAGAAATCGGGTACTCCATGCTTGGATTTTGCCTTTTATCCGTTCTAGCAGTGGCTGGAAGTCTGTGCGGGTTAACTTGCAAGAATGTAGAGGAATTCCCAAGTACTTAACTGGTAAAGTTCCACGGTTGATGCCTGTCTCCGTAGCTATTAAGTCAGCCGTCTCTTCGCTAACGCCCCCCATGAATATTTCAGACTTGTTCTGGTTCATTACAAGCCCCGAGCCCCTGCCAAAATCCTGTAGTATAAGCATAACCTGCTGGAGGGAGCGGTTATCGGCGGAGCTAAAGATCATAACATCATCAGCAAACGAGAGATGTGTTATGCTAGGCTGGAAACACCGCGGATGGAGCTGGATTCTGCCGCAAGCTGCCCCTTGATCCAACATCCTTGATAATACTTCCATTGACAGGATAAAGAGATACGGAGACAACGGATCACCTTGTCGCAACCCCTTCCTTCCCTTAAATTAGCCAGCTAATTCCCCATTAATCGCCACTGAAAACTTCGGCGTTGTGACACACGCTTTGATCCAATTAACATAGCGTGGAGGCAGGTTTAAAGCCCTTAACACTCTCAAGAGAAAGTCCCAGGAGAGGGTGTCGAAAGCCTTTCGGATATCGATCTTGACCATAGCACTTGCTGTCGTGTTCTTACGATTGTACTCTCTGATTAAATCAGTGGCCAACAGAATATTCTTCATCATTAAACGCCTCTTTAAGAATGCGGTCTAGTTGGGAGAGATGATCTCTTGAAGGATTGGTTTTAGGCGTTGGGCTAGCAGCGTCGATATGATTTTGTACGTTGTATTGCAACAGCTAATCGGTCGGAATTCTGCTAATCTCATTGCTCCCGCCCTCTTAGGCACCAACGAGATAATAGTGGCATTAGTTTGTCCCAATAGCTGACCATACTCAAAGAAGTGTAGCACTGATCGAGTCAGATCCGATCCCGTAACAGCCCAAGTTGCTTGGAAAAATTCTTTGGGGAATCCATCGGGCCCTGATGCCTTATTTCTCGGCATAGACATCAAAACCTGCTTGATTTCATCAGGGGAAGGAACACGGGATAGCGACTCAGCCAAGTCAGGGGGACAACTATACCTCAGGAGAGCATGTAGCGTTGCTGTTGGCGGGGGATTGACTGATTCATCAAGCTTGCCGATCAGGTTGGTATAGTAGTTAACAACATGTCTCTTGACATCCTCCATTTCTGTGAGGCGTTGGCCAGCTTCATCTTCTAGGAAGTAAATATGGTTGTTTGCGTTCCTAGCATTGGCTACTCTATGGAAGTAAGAGGTGTTCTTATCTCCTAGTTGCAACCATTTCACTCTTGACTTCTGGCGGAAGAACCGCTCCTCAGCAATAGCCAGGAGAGTCCATTCCTTCCCCAGGGCCTTCTCCTCCATGATTGTTTCTGATTCAGGCGAGGCTAGCAGCTCAGACTGAATCAGCTTAAGTCTGGTCTCTATTGAGGTAACCCGCTGGGACAAGTTGTTGAATCTTCACGAGTTTAATTATCGTAGAGGATCCTTGATTGCTTTCATGGCTTTACAAAGCTTGAACTCATCGTTCCCTCGCCAGGATGCAATATTCCAATTATCACTCACAACCTGCATAAAGTCCGAAACCAGCATGAGATGGTGTTGGAACTTATATGGTCTCCTTACCTTCACCGAGAAGGCCGAGAATCTGATTATACACGGGGCATGATCAGAAGGGCCCGGGGGAAGGAACTCTGCATATGACGCGGAGAGCTGGTCCATCCAAACACTGTTGCACATTGCTCTGTCGAGCTTCACAGAGAGTGGGGATGCCGGCTGGTTATTACACCATGAGAAACGCATCCCACTACTAGGGAGGTCCGTCAAACCAATGGAACCAATGCATTCAGCTAGCTCATGTCGCTCTTGGCTCTGTGAGATAGGGATGTTATTATCTGACCGGTCAGAAGCATACAAGGGCTGATTATAATCGCCTACAATCAACCAGGGGGCTGCGGCCATGGGAGGGTAACTTGACAATGAATGAAGTTCCTGCCAGAGTTCTTATCTGGCTGGTGGCTGGTTACAAGCATATACGAAGGTGGCAGAGAACGATAACAGATTGTCCGGAGTACAAATGCTCAAGTTATTGCTTGCAATGACATTGTGTAGACAGTAACTAGAAGGGAAGGGTCCCACACTAGCCAAATTCTGCCATGCTGGTTTGTATTATAATTACAGACTGCTCGCCAAGTTGGTGGAATCGCAGCTTGAATACGTACCGAGTTTTCTTCGAGGATGTGTGTTTCGAGGAGACCTCCTACTAAAAGTTTGTGTTCAAGTATCCACTTCCGAATCAAAAATTGTTTATTGCGGCTGTTTAGCCCCCGTGTGTTCCATGCAAAAATCATGGAAGTCCAATTGCTTTTTTAATTGCCTCTCACGGCCTTGCGATCACGATCCTTTCCTTTCTGCTTCGTACCATTGGCCATGGAGCCCTTACTGCGACGGCTAGTGAGATTAGAGAGAGTAGTTCCTGGATTTTCTGGATTTTCAGGAGGATTGCTTTGCCCTGAGGATGGTGTGTCTCTGGCTACCGGCGTCTCAGTACTGCCAGACTTATCACAGATGTTGTCCTGCTTTGGAGGAGCTGTTGATTCAGCTTCCACATTCACCTGATCCAA